AGTGTTTAAAGAGCCCTTGCCAAGAGCATAGGTCGATTTAGATAGGACAAGCAACACCCAATCGGACCTGAAGCCATGCTTGGTTAAAAAAATGGGGTGGACTGCCGGCGGGATATCTTGGAGGGTTCGTGCAGGAACTGAATACTCGGTGCAGAAAGAAGAGGACAAAATCCGTTGGACGTTGGACGTTGGACGTTGGACGTTGGACGCTTGGCGACGGGCGCGGGACGTTGCACATTGCAGATTGCAAGAGTGTGGTGTTTGATGATGCATGGCGCACGGGCGGAAAAGCGGCACTCAGGACCCTCTTTGTGGCTTGACAGATTCTGGGAAAGCGCAATCGACGATGCTCCTTCCTGCCTATCAATCAATGCACGCCTCCGTCCACCCGGCGGCAGTGCACCGTGCACCGCCGGGTGACGGCACAGCACTCAAGACTTGGGGTCGTGTTCGGCCACTCAGGTGCCGGGAAGGGCGCTTGCTCGGTGGTGCTCGGTTGTCACAGTGAGAGTACGGAGCGGCGTCCCCTCCAGGGCCCAGGGCCCAGGGCTCCAGGTGCTGAGGTGCTGCCTGGCCTTCCAGAAGACCAGCCATCGACTGACTTGATCGGGCCATCCCTGCCTCCAGCCAGTCAGAGTCCGGCTCCGGCCGGCCGCAATCCCGCTGCAGTCCAGTCAGAACCTCCCGCAGCTGAGGTGAGTGGGACCACAGACCGGCCAGACCCAGCCCAACCGCCCCCTCCTCCTCCACCAAATTCCGCGCACCTCGTTCGTTCGTTCGCTCGTTGGCTGTCATCTTCGTCTCCCATCAACCCCGTCCGCTCTCTCGCGTTCGCATCCCATCGCACAGCGTGTCCGACGACATCCCATCGCTCGAGCCTCGACGCTCGCCGGCTGCATACCCTCGCTGCTCGAGAGTCAAGCCTTCGGTCATTGACGTATCGACACCATTGCGACGATCCTCGAGCCCAGCGAGGGCTTCCCCTCTGCGCACCCCCAAGTCTGCACTCGCAGCCACGCCGCTCATTCGTCGTCATGGCTGAGGATGAGAAACGAGTAGTAGTAGCAGAGGCGACAGAGGCTACCGAAGACGCATCACGCCGCCCCTCCGCTTCGCCTACCGAGAAATCCGAGCAGAATTCGGTAAGATGTCTATCCATCATCTTCACGTTTGCAGTCGGTCGGCATCCAACGGGGGATCAGGTGGTTCTGCCGCCGTCCCTCTCCCGACCTGGCTTTTCGCTCCGGGAAACGTTGCTCGGCCTTTGTTGCAGTGACCTTCGTCGAGGATCCCAAATCATTTGTGTCGGTTTTGCAATGGCTACGCCGACGCACAGAGCAATTTGCCCTCGGTGACAACTTGCACAAGACCAGGCTGCGAACCTCGACAACTTTCCTTGGGCGTGAAATGCTGACTGGAGCCATGTATGCCACTCGGCAGGAACCCTTCTCCTACGATGAAGACGACAGCTTTGCCCGCCAAGGCCATCAGCCGCGATCCCCCACCGCCATCGAGCATGATCTCAATGTCACGGAAGATGACCTTCTCGAGGCCAAGGAGCTTGCCTCGCAATATACCCTCGAGGAGGTACGCGATATCATGATACGAGTGCGCCGAATCCATGAAAAGGACCCCAATTTCCCAGCAACCGTCATTGAAAAGGTCAAGACGTTTCTCGACAATGAAGCCGTTTTTGAAAACCCCCATCAGCATCAACATCTTATCCAAGAGATGAAACTCGAAGCCGCCCTCGTCACCAGCAACAGTCCCTACTCCGAGGTGCGTGCTGTTGTGAGCAACAAGGACGATCCCAAGACGCCATGCTCCACCATTCGAAGCTGGACCATCGGCTTGGTCTTTTCTGTTCTGCTGGCCTTCATCAACCAGCTCTTCGACATCCGCCAGCCAGCCATTCGTGTCATGGCCAACGTAGCTCAGCTGCTTGCCTACCCCATTGGCAAAGCTGCCGAACGCTGGCTCCCTGACAAGGGCTTCACTTTGTTTGGCGTCAGGCACACCCTCAACCCAGGCCCGTTTTCCAAGAAGGAGCACATGCTCATCACCATCATGGCCAACGTGGCCTACAACACGCCCTACACAAACTACATCATCTGGGTGCAATATCTACCACAGTACTTCGATCAGCCGTATGCGTCGCACTTTGCATACCAGTTGCTCATTGCCCTCGCTACAAACTTTATCGGCTACGGTATTGCTGGCATCTGCCGTCGATTCCTCGTCTACCCGTCATACTGCGTCTGGCCGGCCTCTCTCGTGACTATTGCCCTCAACTCGGCATTCCACACCGATATGAACCCGCCCGTCGGCGGCCCGTTCCGCTCCATTTGGAGGATCTCGCGCATCAAGTTCTTCTACCTCATGTTCGCTGCCATGTTTGTGTGGTTTTGGTTCCCCAATTATATCTGGGTCAGCCTGTCCAAGTTTAACTGGATCAGCTGGATTGCCCCCGGACACCGAGACCTAAACATTGTTACCGGCATCAACAACGGCCTGGGCCTGAACCCCTTTCCTACATGGGACTGGAACGTACTGTTGTGGGATTCTGCGGATCCCCTCATGGTTCCTTTCTTCAGCACACTTAACCGTTTCATTGGCGTATTCGCTTCCTTTTGGGTGGTTTTGATATTTTGGTACAAGAACGTTTACAATACGGGCTATCTCCCCATCAATACCAACCGAGTCTACGATCGCTTTGCTCAGCTTTATAACATAACCAGGGCAACTGACGACCATGGGCTCTTCAACGCAGAGAAATACGCTTCGTACTCGCCGCCCTATCTGGGTGCCGGCAATGTGGTCATATACATGTTCTTTTTTGCCATTTACACGTCGACGCTTACTTATGCGGCGTTGTATCATCGCCACGAAATCGCCATGGGATTCAAGGCCCTGTTTTACAGTTTGCGACTGAAGAAGAAGCCCGTCAAGGAGGAGCCTGTGCTGGATGTGCACAACAGACTGATGCGCGCCTATCCAGAAGTCCCCGAGTGGTGGTACATGCTTTGCCTTGCGATTGCCATAGCCTTTGGCATCTCGGGAATTGTCGGGTGGGATACCCACACCTCTCCTGGCGTCGTCTTCTGGGGTCTAGCTCTCTGCGTCATCTTCGTGATCCCCGTCGGCATCATCAAGGCGATGACAGGCATCGAAGTCACGCTCAACGTCTTGGCCGAGTTTGTCGGTGGTTCGTGGGTGGATGGCAATGCTCTTGCCATGAACTACTTCAAATCATTTGGATACGTCACTTGCGCACATGCTATCTGGTTCTGCAACGACTTGAAGCTTGCCCACTACGTCAAGATCCCGCCTCGTCAGACGTTTATTGCGCAGATGGTGGCCACCTTTCTCAGCACCATTGTTTGCATTGGCGTGTTGAACTTTCAAATGAACAGCATCAACAATGTGTGCACACCAGCGGCCCAGTATAAACTCACCTGCCCTGGCGTCAGCACCTTCTTTACCGCCTCCGTGTTGTGGGGTACCGTCGGCCCCCAGAAGATCTTTGGACATCGCGGCCAGTACAGCCAGACCTTGGTTGGCTTTCCACTCGGCGTTGTCGTTGTCGTGCTGATCTGGGCCTTGAACAAGAAGTTTCCCAGGTGGGCTTGGGCTCGACAGCTTCACCCTGTCGTAATTCTCTACGGAGGCATTGTCTGGGCGCCGTACAACATGTCATACGTTTGGCCTTCTGTTCCCATTGCGTACTTTTCGTGGATCTTCCTCAAGACTAGATTCCTAGGCCTATGGTCAAAGGTACGTACCCAGCCTGTAGCCATGAACAAGTCCCGTCTGGCGCCGCAGCAGAACCCCAGAACCTGACCCTTTTTCCTAGTACAACTTTGTCCTCTCAGCAGCATGGTCATGTGGCATCGCCATCTCCGGCATCATCATCTTCTTCAGCTTACAATATACCGAAACCAACTTCGACTGGTGGGGCAACAACGTCTCGGAAATGGGATGCGAAGGCAGCGCCTGTGCTCTCAAGACGCTAGGCCCAGGCGAATGGTTCGGCCCAGGTCCCGGCAAGTTTAACTAAGACGAACAGGGCGAAGAAGAAGAATTGCTCTCGTGACGAAAGAAGGAAGATGCGGATGCCGGGCCTGTCTACTTTTCTTTTTCGCTGCAAGCCGGCGCGACATATATACAGTAAAACGCGATCATGTCTCGGAGTTGGTGTGCTTTTTGGGATTTCGACACGATGAAGGATTTGCACCTCTGCACGAATTTGTTTCTTTTCCAAGCCGGGGGCCTCCCGAACCGTGGGCATTGCGAGATGGTCGGTTGGCCGGTCGGAAGAGGAGGAGTTGTTTGAAGAAAGTTATACCCCCATTTTTATCAATCTAGCTCGAGTCGATTTTAACAAGGCGAGGGAGCTGTATGGAGTAAAGGGATAGTCTAGTCTAGACGGGGCATGGGGACGGGACTGTAAATTACGTCGACCTAGGTACAATGGTCCTTTTGATAGCTTTCGGATCTTTCTAATGCGAAGACGAAGTGTTGCTCTCGCGGCCGGTCTAGATGGAAGAGGGGGATGCCGAACAAGACTGCCTTGCAAGCACTGTGCCAGAGAGACTTTGGTGGGCGGCGGTTGGTCGAGATCCAAAGGAAAGGCACCAGTGGCGGTGGATTGGCAACGCACGTGACGCAACGGCCTTGACGGGGCATCATCATGGTTGAACTGCATTCATTTCACGCACTCCTCTACACTCTGCACTCTACCACTCTACACAAAGTACATGCCGGAAGAGGGAAGTCATGGCCCAAAAATGCCCATTCTCCAAAACGCCAGGCTAAAAAAGTCCTCTGAGGCAATGAGTTATGCCGTGCCCGTGTGCGCCACCCGTCGTACGCAAAACAACCCAGACCAAATCAAGGCAAAGAAAGATGAAGAGAAGAAAAAAGTAAATCAGGAGAAAATTGAAAAGAAGAGGGGGAAAGAAGGGGAAAAAAGGGAAAAAAGAAACCACCGCTCCACGGGCTCATCCCACAATCACGGAGATGTACTCCGTAGAACCACTCGTATTCCGCAACGACTCCTTCCAGCTCGTCCTGGGCGAACCGCCGCTCAGAGGGCTCACCTCGCCGGCAGCCTGACGTCGCTGGCCGACGAGGGAGCTCGAGCCGATTTCCACAGCCCCTTCCGGCACCGACAGCATGCCGCCGCCGGCGGCGCCGTCCCTGGCGCCAGCGGGGTCGTTGTTGATGGCCTCCCAGCTGCTTGATTCGCGAATGGCGCCTTCTGGGAGGATGGGGCTGCGCTCTCTGCTGAGGTTCACCCGGGACTTGACCCAGTCGCCCGCCTTTGCGGAAAAGTCCTTCATCGACCCGTGGCTGCCGCCGTGGCGGAGGCGACGGAGGCGGCCTTTTCCCTTGTTGAGAAGCGCCCAGTTGGAGGATGTCGCCTTGGGCGGGGCGAAGCCGGGGTGGAAGCTGACGACGGGCTTCTTGCGGCCCGGCTTGGAGAGGACGCCCGCTTGCTGCATCTTGCGCGCGATGAGGTCCATCTGGCCGCTGATGGTGGGCGTGTTGATGACTTCCACGGCCGTCATGCGGACCGTGTGGATGCCCTCGACCTCGACCTTGCGGAGGTCGTGGTTGAGGCGCTGGGCGAAGAGGTACGCCGGGAGGAGGGAGCCTGAGATGTCGTAGAAGCGTGACTGCATGAGCTCGGTTTCGGAGACGCCCTGCGCTGCGACGCGCGGGTGGAGGAGCTCGTTCCAGCTGGACACAAGGAATTGCTGGAGCGTGTTGCGCTGCTCGGCGGAGAGCCAGTGCGTGTAGTAGGGCTGTGCGACGTCGGGCTCGGGCTTCTCGGGGAGGACACGCGGCGTGATGGATTCGTAGTCGCTCGACGGCTGGAGAATGGGCTGGCTGATGGTGTCGTAGCAGGCGAGCGTTTCGACCGAGGCGACGAGGAGCGCCATGGCTGCCTGTGCGAAGTGCTCGGGGACCCGGCCTGGAGGGTACTCGATGCAGAGGGAGACCTTGTCGGGCGACAGCATGGTCGAACTGACAAGGAGGTCGGGCATGTCCCGGACTTGCGGCTGGAGGAGGCTGTAGGTAAAGGTGGTGTTGTCAATGTTGAGCGTCGTGGACCCGTCAACGGGAACCTGGGTCCTGTGTCGCACGACGGTGCTGAACCGCGACCAGCTGAGCCAATCCGTGCATTCCTGCACGATTTTCTGCGCGCCCATGGCCTCGTAGGGGAGAGATGCGGCGCTGTCTCGCTGGATCAGCTGGAGAACCTGCAAGGGCGAGCTGTTGACAATGGGGAATCGCACCCGAACGGGCACGATGTTCTCCATGGGACCCGCGATGGACGACACGTCCACGCTCGTCTCCAGCTTGAGGCGACGTCCTTCGACGACTTCTCCAAAGACAACGTCCGGGTTGCCAGAGAGCGTGGCCATGACCATGGCCCAAGCGGCCTTGAGGACGCAGTCGAACGTGATGTTGAAGTCTGTGAGCGACGAGATCTTGACCTGCTCGCGCAAGAATTTGGCCTCGGACACTGGAGGAAGAGGCCTCGAACGGGGGACAACCTGAGCCACCCTGGCCTTTTCGAGCCGCTGCCTCCAGTAGGCCCTGCTGTCGTCGTATCGAGCGCCTCTCAAGGCCCGAGTGTAGTCGAAGAACGTGGTTCGGCGACGCTCCGTGGCAGGGTGCTCATACAACTTGACGAAATCCTGCACCAATCGTGGCACAGCAGACTCGCTGACTTGGGCGTAGCTGAATCGGATTATCAGCTTGCCGCCGTGCTGTCCGGCATCCAACAGGGCAAACTTGGTGGCGGGCACTCTGAGCTGAAGCGCCCCCTTCTGCAAACGCCTCAAAACCTGCTGCATCTCCTTGTCGACAGATGACGCCGAAACAGACTTCCGCTCAAAGTCCGCGCGGAACGAGTCAATGGCAACTTGGAACAGGCTGCAGTCGTGGACTACGAAGGCGGTTCGGAGGGAGAGGTGCAGGCGGGTGAGGGCCTCGCATGCTTCTTCGATCCGCTGCGCACGAATGGAGCCGTTGAAACTGATGACGAGGCAGCGAATGTCACTTCTGGGTCCGTAGAGGCTGGACTCCAGGCATTGGAGCTGGTGCGAGGATGCTTCAGCGACATCGACGACATCGTTCCAGGGGATGTCAAGTTGCGGCGCAACAATGAGCTTGACGAAGCCGTGGTCCGTACCTTCGGGTAGCTTGCGAGCCGCGACGCTGGGTTTAGGGGAGGTCTTGGGCTTGTTTGTCTTGACGAGGTGGTGGTCTTTGATTTCCAGAGATTGGCAAATCTCCGTCAGCGTGACTTTGTCGAGGAGCTTGTCGATTGGAATGTCGAAACCATTCTGGCGGCACGACACAACGAGCCTCATGGCCAAAAGCTTGTCCCCGCCAGCGTCCAGGAAGCTGTCTGTGGTCTTGATGTCCGCGACCATGGCGTGCAGCACGGCCGCCCAGATTAGACGCATCGACTCCTCAGTGCGCGTGAGGGGGAGCGGTTTACTCTGGATCCCCGTGAAATGAGGCTGGCCGCTAAAGGGGACATTGGCCAATTCCAGCAATTCAGCGTAGGAAAACGGAGAGGCCATCTTCTGCAACTTGCGTCTATGAATCTTGAGCGACGTGGACAGCGGGAACCGACGGACGGGAATGAAGATCTTGGGGACGCCAGCTGCGTGGCCAAGCCTTGAGGCCTGAGCCATGGACGTCTCTGCCAGCCATTTCACAGCAGTGAGCTTGCATCTCATCTGCATCGTCAACTTGTCGAGCTCTGACGGTCCAACAAACTCGCGGTCGCCGAACTCCAGAAACGCCGCGAGCGAGTTGACGTGATCATTGGTGGTGATTGGTTCCACCGCAACATCTAAATCACCGCCGAGACACTGTCGAATCTGTCGTTCCAAGACGGCAGTCACAGCTGGAGATCCGTTGACCAGGACTTCATCTCGCATGCTGGCGAGGAAGCGTATGTGCCCCCGGTCCAGGTATCGCACGCGATGACCTGTTCTCAGGTAGCGCCGTTTTCGTTCGCCAGTAACCTGCTGGAAAGCCGCCGGATCCATGGGGGGACGGCCGTGGATGTACTTGTGAGGCGTTACGATTGGACTGTCAATAGCCAGTTCACCAACAGCACCGAGAGGCATCAGCTTCTTTGGATCTTCAGGGTTCAGGATGAGGAAGCGACCGAGGAGCGGCGGAGCAATAATGTTGGTGTCCTTGGACTCTGCAATGTTGAACACCGAAATCGCGAGCGGGCACACGTCCGGAGCGCCGTAAGCGAGCAGAATGTCCCTGCTGCCAAGCCACGGCTTGAAGGCGTCTTCGTCGAGACTTCTTGTGCGGAAGCAGATGGTCTGCAGGTTCGTCACGTTGGCTGGGTTGATCTTGCGCGACAGAACCGTCGTCATATAAGTCCAAGTAATATCCATGCGAGCAATGGTGCCCTCCAGGTCATTTATGCGCTCCAGTGCATTGGGAATGCAGACGCAACCCCCGTGAAGCAATGTACCCAAAATCTCGACGAGCGCAATGTCGACGGTATAAGCAGAGAGCTGAAGTACTCTGCTGCCATTGTGTATCTTGAGGGCTGGTCCCTGAGCCGAGAGGATCGAGCACAGCGACTCGTGGGTGAAGAAACATTCCTTGGGCTTCTCGAGGCCCGGAGCGAGAAAGGCAAAAGCTGCCTGCTGAGGAAGGGGTTCGTTCAACTTGACACTCACCTGTGGTGGGAGAGACGACAGGAAGGTTTCGTTGACCAAGACGAAAGGCCTGGCGGAAAGGTCCAAGTGTCTGTACGCGCCCTCTGTGACAACCACAAGTTCCGGTGCCAGCTGGTCAATCATGGCCTCAACCATGACCATGTCTTGGGCGTCCAAGCAGACGCAGCAGCCGCCTGCTTGCATCACGGCAAGCATAATGACCGGGGACCACCGGCTCTTCTCCAAGACGATGGGAACGAGAACACCGGGGCGAACACCAATGTTGACGAGATACGTGGCTAGTGCAGTGACGCTCACCTGGACCTGCTGATAGGAAAGCTCTCCATCCCAAGCATAAATGGCCGGGAAATTGGGCCGAGCTTCGCACTGTTTGAGGATGAGCTGGTGCAGGCATGCCGAGATCTTGGTGTCCGTCTGCTCCTCTTCCCAGTCCGGGCTCATAATCTGCTGGAAGTCATGCTCAGTGAAGAGGTCGACTTTTGAGCAGTGCTGCGCAGGGGAGTTGATGATGATCTGCAGGGCACGTTGGAAGGTGTTCATGACGTTGTGAAGCTGGCCCGGCGAGAGGCAAGAGTAGCTCACGTCTGCTTGGATGCGGTCGTCGCGAAGCGTCACACAAAGCGAGACGTCGCAGTTGCCATCGATGGTATTGGCCAGCAGAACCGGCTCCCAGACGCCGCTATCCGAGTCAGAATCGCTCAGGGTGGCGTCATCAACATCCTGACAGGTCACGCAGGTGTTGAAGAGGCTCTGGCCCTGGATGCCAAGCGCGTGCTCGATCTCGGCCAGAGTTGGAGCATCCGCCGCCGGAAGATCATTTGCCATTCTCTCCAGCTGCCAAAGGATATCAAGTATACTCGACATGGGTGAAAAATCAACCATGCAGGGCACAAATGTGGCCAAGCTGCCGACATGACGCTTCGTCTCGGGTATGAGAAGCGCATCTCTACCAGCATGCGAGTATCCGAAAATGACGCGGTCTTCTCCAACATATGTTCGAAGGACAAATGCCCAAGCCAACCGAATTACCGTAGACAGATCCAACTGGTTATCGTCGCAGAATTTGGCGAGCTGGTACCGGCTGATGTCGAGACTGATCCCCCTCGACTCGAGACGTCTTTGTGTCTGGATGGCAAGGCGAGGGAAAGCGCATGGTGTCGCTCCGTTGAGATGAGATCTCCATGATTCAACGTTGTCAGGGGCGTCGAGGAAAGCTACAAGGCGGGCCGGTCGAGGAGGTGGAGGGCTAGCGATGACCAGTTTTCTGCCCATATACAACTCCCGAAGCTGAACGACCAAGTTGTGAATGGCAGTCAAGTCGCAGAGTGCCTGGCTGCAATCAATTCTCAGGTACGCTGTCTTGTTTGACCGACTCACTGAGAGTCTGTGTCTCGGCATGGACTTTGATGGCTTCATTGGGGGCAGTGATGAGAGAGTCTCCATGGGATCGTTTGAATCCATAAACAGCATGTCGGGTGACGTCTTCTTCAGGACCATCCGGTCAAAGAGTCCCTTCTCCGACAAACTATCGACGAAGATGCTCCTCAAGGCGGAATGGGTGGCGGCAAGTGTCTGCCAGGCGGTACAGAGCGCGTCTCGACAAACTTCTGACCCGTCGACCGTGGCGAGTTCATACGTGCGACTGACGTGAAAGCAGTTGGGGTCAATGCTTTGGGCGACCAGTATCTCTTGCTGAATGGGGTCAACGGGGCAGATTGTCTCAATATTATCAACTCCACTGATGCCAACATCGACAAGCTGCTTCGTCATCAGCCTCGACAATGCCTCGTAGGACGTCTCCAAGAGAGGGACATCTGAAAGCGTCAGTTCAGGCTCCATGGCCCCCAAGCGAGAGATGACGGCCAAGATGGCATTCTCAAAATTTTGCATCCACTCTGTAATGCGATCTTGATGCCTTGCGTTCATATTGAAGGAGAACTCTACCCTTGCACCGTAATCGTCAACGCCCACCGAAACCTCGAAAAGGGCAATGCGGCCAACCTCTGGTCCTACATCGGAAGCCAAGGAGCGGACTTCGCGGTCGGGAGCGGCAACGGGCTCCAAGATGCCGTCCTTTCTTTGTAGTTGGTTAAGAGTGTCGACGCAGTTGAACATGATTTCTACGGGCAAGGAGGTAGCAGCCGTGTCATCGGCGGCGAGTTTCGACTGGAAGTACGGTGCGACGTGTTCCGAGAGCGCCTTGCGGGAGTCTTTGAGCATCTTGACGAGATGGATCAAATCCGAGCCAGGATGGACGGGCACACTGATGGGGCAGAGCGTGGTGAACCATCCAACCGTCTCTGTGACATTGAAGTCCCCGTTGCGAGCATCTCGGCCATGCTCTTGCTTCCAGACGGTAGGGATGGAGCGCTCGGGAAATGTTTGACGAAAGGAAAATAGCAATGCAGCGAGGAGGATGTCTGCGGACTCGGTTCGGAAGACGTTGTTGCACGTCTTTTGCAAGGCAGAGGCCGCATCGCGCGGAAGCGCAAATTTCAAATGGGTAGTATCTCCGTACAAGTTGGAGTGGCCCTCCAAGCCCCAGTATCGCAGGTTTGCCGGGCCAATTTCGAATGGCAGGTTTGGTTCAATCAACCTCTGGCTATTCTCGTAGCTCTGATAGTCTGTCCAGTATGTGAACGGTATGGAGGGCTCAGAGACGAGTGTTCCCTCTCTAAGCAGGTCGTCCAAGTCGTGGAGCAAGATCTTCCACGAGACCAAGTCGACGACTAGGTGATGAGCGGCAAGATACAGCAGCTGTCTGTTCGCGGTATTTCTGATGTGCTTGACCGTAAAGACGGGACCGTTGAAGACATCCAACGACCGCTGCGCCTGATCAATAACAGCTAGCAGATCGTCATCGCTGTTGATATATCTGTGTTCAAATCTGTACGCGCGGTTAGACTCTGGGGCGATGACTTGTGCCCATCCCTGGCTGGTCAGTCTGAATCGGGCCCTTAGCATGGAATGCCGTGATACCAAAACACTCACGGCGGCCTCGATGTCCGCCAAGGCCACATCAACCCTTACTTTCAAAAGGATGCTCTGGCTGAAGCGGTATTCCGGCCCGGTGATGACAGACGCCTCGGCGCTTCGGTCCACTGACGACCTGAAAAAGAGCTGCTGCATAACAGCCAGGGGGAAGTAGACCTCTCGTTCGGGGTCAGGGGTAGGGCTCTGCGGAGGTTGCTGTACGGGGTCATTGGCACGGTAACCAATCTCCAGGTCAGGCCTAACAAATGAGTCGGGGCGCACAGGATAAACATGCTGATGACGATGGTGGTGAGGGCGAAGATGATGATGCTGACGGTGACGTCGTGGCGGCTGTGGCGGCAGTTGTGATGGTTGTGAGACCAGAACATGGCTCCCTTGTTTGCGTAGTCGCTCTGCACCCCTCCAATGGTTGGCCAACTGCGTGGTCATGATCTTCTCTTCGACCTCTTCACCAATATTCTGCACCCACGTCTGTAGTTTCCTGGCATCGGGCTCGCCATCGGCATTCGTGGCCATGGACTGCAGCAGAATCCACACATCGGGGCGGCGGGAGTCGGAGCCCCATTCGGCGACAGCAGTTTTCAGGGTCTGGATTTGTCTCTGGGAGTTGTCGCGCTCAGTCTGGGGAACCAAGGTGATGAGCCCATTGTTGGGAGCATGCACGGCCGTGGTGGTGATCAGGGCGACGTACTGACCCTCGAACGGCCCCGCGCGGGGGCGCACGAGACACACCTTGCCCACTCTGGTGGTGGATAATAATAGGTTTTCGAGCTGTTGTTGTTGTTGTTGCTGCTGCTCCTCCTGCTGCTGCTGCTGGATGCCACCATTGTTACTATTGTTGTGCTTCAGCCTGGAGCTGGTGATGGCGGTGGTGGTGTAGTCTTTGTTGTTGTTGGTGGTGGTGGTGGTGGTGGTGTTGGAGCCAGGGGCAGGAGACGGGCAAGTCGGTGGCGACCGTGATTGTGACTGTGATTGTGATTGCGACGGTGAGGATAGCAATAGTGATGATGGTGACGGTGGTGATGGTGGTGATGGTGGTGATGGTGGTGATGGTGGTGATGGCGACGAGCACGGCTTTGGCAGTGCTGCAGGCGTGATGCCTGCTTCCTCGAATTCGGTGGCCATGAGGGCGGCTGTGGCATGGACGTCTATAGATGCGAGCATGTCCTCGTCATGGCTGCTGACTTGCGACGGCGACGACAACTTGGAGACGGAGTAGGAGCAGTTGCTGTCGAGGGCAGACGAGGGAGAGACGGGAGAGACAGAGGTTGTGGAAGAGTAGCCGCCGTTGTGGTGCTGTTGTGAGCCCGAGTCAAGATCAAGGTCAAGGTCGAGATTGAGGTCAAGGTCAAGGTCGAGGCCGAGGTCGAGGTCGAGATGGAACTGCCGGGCGTCGTCTTTGTCTTTCACGAGACGTTTCTGTTTGCGTCGGCGCGTCTCCCCCACCGGATTAAATGAGCTGGTGCGGTTCAGACATGCGTCCGGCTCGCGGCGGGCTGTGCTCAGGTTCTCGAATAAACCAGAGACGGGCGGCCGACGCCGTGACACCGCTGAAACATTGGAAATAGAGTCGACATCCCGTGCTGACGTGGAGTCGGTGGTGGTGGTGGTGATGACTGCGTTGCGAGGGCCATGCCGAGTCTGGGTCAGCAGCGGTTGAACCAGCATGGCGTCGTCGATGGGCGATGCTCGTCCACGGCCATGCAGGCCGTGAGAATGCACGTAGGAGACGTCTAATTCCATTGCCTTTGCCATTGCCATTGCCATTGCCATTGCCGTGGCATGGCCACTGCGGCTGTGGGCGGGCAGGACGGGCCGTTTGGCGATGCCGTCACTGGTCCGACTGACCAAGGTGAGATTGATGATTGACCATGATGATTGGACCCAGACGCACAGTCAACGCCGCCTCTGTAGCGAGTCCTAACTACCTAGTCCGTCCGTACGACCGACCTCTGTCTGGTACGTGGAACTTGCGCGAGGCTTCTTTTGTTTGTCGAGGCGTGAGCGTGTGCGCGCGCGCGCCGTCCCAAGTTGAGGCTTCAACTGCGGCCGACTTGGACGCAAACAACACCGCACGTGGTTGGGAACAAAGAGATGGCGAAGCGGCCTCGTCCGGCATTGAAAAGGGACAAAACCGCCGTGACCTCACGGACCTTGCAGTTGCCAGGAGACTGGATTTATATACCCAACTGCCAGCGCCTGCCAAGGGCTGCCCAAGAATAGGCAACATCGCTTATTCCTCTCCTCATTCTTGTTCTTGTTGCATGCTCGCTCCGTCCGTCCGTCCGCCCGTCCGTCCGCCCGTCCGTCCGCACCGAGACACTACGACTGCCCCGATTATCGACGCAGCAAGCACATAACTACGTGCTGCATACGCCAACGAGCGAGAAGAACGAGAACCAACGTCACAGCCACCCCGGCCGAAAAGCGCCGTCTGTTGGTGTGTAAGATTTGCGGATTCGAGTCCCCGACCCCGGCTCCCATTGACCTCCCCGCGTCCCAAGCTCGCGCCGCCGCCCATGGAAAAGTGTCCGGCGTCTCGCGAATCCGTTTCAACTGCTCTCGAATGCGTACGGAGACGAGGATGCCCTTGTCCTGCGGGCGGGCGAATCGTGGCTTTCCACACCGGGCAGAGCAACGTCGACAGCCCATTTCGGCCACATGAACGACGTCTTTGCTTCGTGATACGAGGTCGCGAGGTTGACAATAAATGCCACGGCCTCGTCGGGCTTCCAAAAAAAAAAAAAAAGAGGAATATTCAAGCCTTGGACAACTTTGCTCCATATCCACATATTCGCACCCGAGTCTTCAGCTTTCGCACGGTCGTCGATGTCGTCAAGGCTGGCCTCAACCGTAAACTTGCTACTACTGCTTTGCTGCTGATGAGAATTCAAGAGGTCGACTTGACGGTGACGGTGACGGTGACGACATGGGAGCAATCTTTGAATTCATCAGCCCGACCTCCACCGGCGATATCACAGCCCCAGGCAGGTCCCAGCAGCACACATGAGCTGAGCAGCAACTCGGAGTAGCTGTGTCTGGCGTATCTGCAGGCAGTCAGGTAATACAGCAGAGCCACAGTCTTTTTCTTCCCAGGCTCGAAAACAGGCCCTCTCGAGTCCCGACCACCAGGGGGGAGAAAGACAGGACAGCCAGAATGTCACCTTGGCTGATGCGCCTCACGCGCCGTACTACGCTGGAAAATAATCACGGATCGACCAGACGGCCCCATCTTGTCCCATTGGATCATCTGCGCGGCACGGCTGGAGTAGTGATCCTCCCCACGATTGGGTGTCGTTCTCCGTCGGAGAAGAAGCAGCGTGGCTTGGCTTCCTCTCAGGTCGGACTCGTGAGAAATCGTCGTGCTCAAGAAGCAAAGCAAGTAACATCAGCGCGATCTTAATACAGGGCCAACTTGGCACCTTTTCTTAATTTAGTTTAATTTACTTTTTTTGTGGTCCTCCTCGAGGCCAACATCAACAACGTCGTCACACATTACAAGCCACACCACCCCAGTGTGACTTTTGTCGGCTCCCACCAAGCATTCCGGGCACCGATGCTCTCCCGCGAGGAACGTGGCCGTCGTCAAGCAATGCCGGTAGGTTGGATTGCCGATCCGGCGCTTATACGACTTCTACGGTGGCAAGTGATGGATGACGGTTTCTCTCATCAGAGATTGATGTATCACACACACGACGACAAAAGTCGCACCGGCAAATCCAACTACTCCTGCGGTGTGCTTGTTCCTAAAATAAGTGCCTCTGTTGAAACAAAAGATGAAAAAAAGGTTCTTGTGTGTCACCCAAACCATCGACGCAATGTCTCCTTCGTAGATGCATGGGTCGCCTCGCCACGCCAGCCCAGCGAACGCGGCTGCTCCGCGAAACGGAATATCCCTCGTACTCCAGGAAGCAAAAGATGAGGGATTCGTCAGCCATCGCAAGCGAGCACGGCGGCAATCCGTTGCGCCTGCACACGGCCCCGTCCCGTCGCCAGTCGGCACGGAAATCCGCATTCTCGCCCGAAATGCCGCCTCTCCGACGCTTCACTCTCCAAATGCCAAATACCAAAGACCTCGCCGTCTTGGAACAGAGGCCTTGCAGCCAGCAGTGGCGAGCGGCGCACCAAACCCCGTCCGTGTAAAGTCGCGCAGGTCGCACACGCCCTCGTCCGACGACCAAGAAGACTGCAAGCACAGTCGACACCAGTCACAGGCACCCGATACAAATGGTAGTTTTACACGACCCCGTGACTCTGACCAGATCAAAGCAGCGCAAAAGTAATAGCATCACCCATTCGTACAATTACACTGTAATGTAATGCCGGCCATTGCCCATCACACCCATCAATCACCATTGTCACATGAATGCGTTCCAAACGCTTCCCATTCAAGCGCTCGTCTGTCCCACCGTGATGTCACGATTCCACCGCTTCCTCCTACTTCCATCCCCAAAGAGAGATTCATTTCCCAACCACGATTTCTTCCTCGTCCGGTTCTTCAATGCTGGTCCGCCTCGTTGCCTCTCTGACCTCGATGGCTCTATAACCCTCTTCCTTCTTCTCGTCTGCGGATGCTACCAAGTCGTCGGCCCGTTCGTGGCTCCCTTCCCCGCGTTTGGCTTTGCTGCTCTCGTTTCTGGACCCAAACGGCCATAGACCGCTGAGACCTCTGCTGCCTTCCTTGGCGGGATTTATGGCCAGCGGCCTCAGCACCAGCTGTTCTCTATTCGACGTCCCGCCACTCTGGTCATCTTCCGCCATGGCAAAGTCGCCAAATTCGTCGTCGTCGTCGTCAACGTCTGCGTCGTCGGAGTCGTCGTCTGCACGGCTCTTCTTTCCGACCATGCCTCTCCACCACGATCCGCGTCCGAGATCTTGAACAACGTCTACATCCGCCTCATCATCGTCATCCATATCGTCGTCGTCATCTCTAAAGGGATCCATCGCGTTGTCGTCATATTCGTCGCCTTCATGGTGCATTGTCGCAGAGGACGGCTGTGCCGCCTGGTTGTTCTTCTGATGCATCGCCAACCGAGCCGCCAGCTGCAGCCTGGCTCTGGACGGAGGAACCTTCAATGGTCGAGGCGGCGGTGGAGGCGGAGGGATTGATGGCGGATTCAACGAGTTGCCATTGTTGTTGAGAGGGTCTGTATAAGACCGGAACTAGAAGAAGGGATGACATCAGCAACTGATTCCCGTAGTCCGTAACATCAAGAGATCAGATCGAAGCAAGCTGTGCTGAGTAGAGGTGGCTGTAACTGCAAGACTCCCTTCACGGCCTCGTTCCCTGTCATCTCCCGACAAAGGCACCGCCAATTTGCTCTCGTCTTTCCTTGCCCGCTGACTCTTTTTTTTTTTCCTCTTTGCCCTTCATTAGGAGACTTTTAGCACTACTGCGTTCATCCATCGTATCAAAACATTTGCACCCATGGATCTGTATCCACCGTCTTGGCGTACTCCAGGTACGTCTTTCTTCTTTCTAACTGATACATAGGAGGCTGTCCAGCTGCGGCATGACGGGGCAATCGAATCTCGTCTTCAGAGCGTAGCCACACCTGGTCATTGACATCATTGTGTCCAAATTCTTCGAAATCAGGTCTGGCTTATCAGCACCCGCTGCATTGGTCCCAACACAGTAGAAGCTGGCGCTTGCCAAATTTCCGAGACAAGCGTCTGACGCCGCGTCCTATGGTGACATCGACGGTTCTGCTCCGTGCTCGTCGTAATGGTCTCCCGACCATCTGTTTCGATGCGAGCCGTCTTCCATCATTTCGTCTTCCGCATCCCGGGTCGTGCTGAGTCTCACGGGCGAACTCATACCCGCGGGAATGTTCGCGGAAGAATCCCCCGAGATTGGCTCGAGAGGCTCTGGGGACATCATGATGACATCGACTGGAGAATCCGTGTTTGCATTTGCAGCCACCTCTGGAGAGCCCATACTTCGATCATGAAGAGAATCGCCACTCACCTCGGAGTTCACATCTTCTTCCTCCACATCGCCATCATCATCCTCTTCGTCGCTGCTGCTCCCGAAGCCCGACATCAAGGTTCCAGCACTAATGGCGAAGGGGCCGATGCCACTGTTGCTCCCTTCGTTCATTTCGATGCCGCCATTCAAGCCGGCTTCCGCCAAAGCGTTTGAGCCAGTTGCAGAGGCACCGCCCAGACCAGACAGCCCAACACCACCCAGGCCATTGCCACCCCCTATGCTTGCGCGGTGGCCAAGAGCAACCTCGGGCCGGACTCCGCCCAAAATGGCATTGTCTCGCTCACGCGTCTCCGCAAGAGCACCCTCAACGTAGTTGATCCACTCCTGGCTCATAACCTTATCCAGGACCATCTCAGAAAGCAGCTCCGGTGGATGTCTCTCGGTAAACTTGACCACTTCCTCAGCAATCAGGGTCAAGTGTCCCATGTATCCCATGCGCGTCTTCGTCTTCGCCTGCGACTCATCGCTGGTCTGCTGGCCGTTGATGATGGCCGTTGTGACGTCGGCTGCTTCAAACAGGGAGACGGCCAGAGTTGGGTTGTATCCGCGATCCATGGGGCCGTTAAACACTTGTTGCACTATGTCGTAAACAACATTGTGCAAAAAGTTGTTCCACGGGTACGAGAAGAAAAAGGTCTGGAAAATGTTAGCTCCGCTACGAACATGTAAATGTAAATGTAAAGGGTGTGCTGTACCAAAATTGCGGGTACAACGCGGTGTTCTACAAATTGCATCTTGAGATAGTCTCCCACAACAGGCTCTAGTGGTATATTTGCTTGTACTTGCTGCGCTAGCGCAGTAGACGGATCGACCGCGTCAGCAATTCTCTCGGGAGATGCCGCTCTATGCGCAAAATCAGACTCAGCAGGGGCGTCAGCAACAGTCTCCGTCTTCTTTGTGGTCTGGTCTGAAGCAGACGCTGGTGAAGGACTTGTTGAGGAGAACAAGGGAGCCGGGGTATCTTCCGGGTGAGGAGAAAGGTCACGGTGCTGATATCCCGAGTCGTCGGGGTTCAGAGAGGCACCGGAGAGCGCCGATTCAGGAGGGGGATTGGTCGGAAGGGACGTTTTCGTAGGCTGTTGAGCAGAGCTGAGATGCTCGTCAATCTCCTTTGTAGCCAAGTCTAGGCCTGTAGGTTGGATGCTGTCCGGATTGGCCAACTTTGCAGATTCAGGCAACTCGGCCGGCTGGGATTTTGAAGGCGACAGCGGCGCCACGATGAGATCCGGGTCCTCGAAACGTTGTTCATGAATCTTAGCGGCGCCTACAGAGAGACGGGGGGAGCTGAGCGGCTCATCGACAAAGTCATCCTCGTCCTTGTCGATGAATGACGACGGCGGAGCCACCGTGATGTCGCCCTCAGCCTTGACAAATTCGTGCGATGTGTCCTCACTCATTTCTTTGCACGGTTCAACCTCCTCAAAACCATCATCGGCGTTTGTAACTTCAAGACGTCGCCCTTCGTCGTGGACGGTGCCGTGACCCATGCGCATGGTCAGATCATCAGCAGATTGGTCGTCCTCCCTCAAAGGTCCCAGCTTTCCTTCGGTCCGTAGTCGCTGGCGCTCGGCATCTCGCTTTGCGATCAATTCCTCGGATCCGACTTCGTTGAGCAATCCCATGTTACTGCAATGCAACAGCTCTGCCATCAATTCGCAAGTCTTGAACCTGTCAAAACCCAGGGGCTCAAGCCTTTCCCCAAAAGTGGACTCGGATCCCTCTTTCTTTGCTGGCGCGTCCATGATGAGGCTCATAAACTGGGGCACATTCTGGGCAAAAAGACGCAGCAGATTACCAAGATAAATGGGATCTCGGCTGGAAGGAACTTGATTGGCCTCGGTGCCCACATCAGGGTCATAGTCGGAGTTGTTCTTTCTGATGACCTCGATGACTATCCCGACACCGACTGTGAGGGGGTTGCCTCCTCCGAGCATGTAGCCGATGAGCTGCTCGACACAAGGCTGAGACACCAACTGGCGTGTGAGTTCGTTGGGGCCGATGCATTGCTGCTCGTTTTGCGAGGCATTCGCAGAGATGGTAATTATGGCCTTGATGAAGTCGCCAGCGGCCGTCTGCACAACCCAGCTGTGCTTAGGGTCGAGACAGGAGACTAGGGCGGGAATGATGTCTTTTGAGAACAGCCACTGGTTTTACACCAAAGCGTCACGGGTCAGCGGGGGAGGTTGAAACGCGGGATGAGAAGGTGTGGGCTGAAACGAACCTCGACAATTCCTTGTCCTCCTTCATTTCGGTCCATGGCGATGATCTTGAGAAGCAGATCCATAATCATGGGACATTCGACGTGTCGGAGAAGCTCGGGGACGACGTTTGGAACACTCCGCAATAGGCCCATCATGTCGTCGGTTTTCTTCTCAAACAAGGACTCATTCACCTTTGTAAAGTAGCTCGCCTGGAGCGGATCGAGGGGGGCAGGGCGCTCGAGGAATTTCCAAAATTTGCGAATCAGGTCTCGGTTCTCCGTCAGGGCCTCATAGATGGACCACGTGTCGGAGCTCAGGATTTCAGAGGCAACGAGGGCATATCTATTGCGCCTCTTCTCCTGCTCATCCTCATCATTGTCCACGACGTCGGTCGCGCGGGACGATGCCCGGGGGCGCGAGAAGGGCAGCAGGCGACTTTTGCCCTTGGCCTCATCGTCGGTGGGGTCGTCGGGCGTAGCGAAGACTTCGAGTCTGGAGGCGACGACATATTCCAGCAGCTTCTCCAGGACGCTGTCCTCGCGGAGATATTCGATAAGCTTGGAGTTGTGCTGCTTGAGTTCCTGGATGAGATCAGTCTCGTCCAGCAGCTCCTCGAGGGTAAAGTCGGGCTTGTCGAGGATGGTGTCGATGGTGGAGATGTTGGCGTAACCGCCGAATCTCCAGAACATGGCGACGTTTCGATGGCCCAGCGCCGGGCGAGTCGCAGCACCGGCGGTGGAAAGGAAGGGCGTGGAGGGCGATGGGCTCGATGAGCCGGATCATGTACTGCGCTGCAGAGCGGAGGCGTTGTTTGGAAGCCGGGACATGTGCAGAGCAGCGGTCGGGCATCCAGCTGAGGCAGCCAGATGGTAGCAATGGGATGCGAGACGTAGCCGACAAGGTGGTCGGGAGCCCTCGACTCGGCGTGTCTGTGTCTGGTCGCACTGACGGGTTGAGTGGACCACAGTGTGTGTTCAATTTCTACAGTTAAATAACAGTCACTTTAGCTACATTAGGAGGTGGGGTATACATTAGAGTAAGTATAGCCTATAATATATACTATTATAGCTTATACTTTATATTCTATATAATAGATAAATATAACGTGCTGCCCTATAATATTATTAGCTCTCTATTTTGATTATACTTACAGCTCTATTAAAGTTAAGGTATTTTTAATAATAAAAGTATATATTAGCTATTTATAACTAGAATATAAATTCTATCTTAGTTTTATTCTTGCCTATAACTTGAAAAGTATTTTCTTTAATTATATAGTTATAATATTCTTTATAAAGAGCTACTATATAATTTACTTTAGCTTTAGCTTTAATAATATTAAAGATAATAGTAAAAGTATAGTTAAAAGCTTTTTTAATAGGCTTCTAGCTAGTAGGCTTTAAAGTATTAAACTTAGCTTTAGAATTTTGATTTTTAGTAGATAAAGATATAATAATATAATTCTTTTTATTAAAGCTATAGCTAGCCTTTAAGGCTAAAGTTTAATATTGTAATAGACTCAAGCTGTAGGCTCGAGTGGACACAAGGCACTGTGTCGGTGCCTTGTTGAATACTTGTTGAATACTTTTCGGATGCATATTAGACCTATATATATATAATAGCTAGAAAAGAGGGGGCAGGGAGCTTCTTCTCTCTTTCTTCTCTCTCCTTAAGTTTATAGTTAATACTAGTAACGCTTACACGCAGTTGCCTTTAAGGCTAGTCCTTAATAAATATTTATAATTAATACTATTAAAATTAAATATAATAGACCTACTTATACTTAAACCTCTTTATTATTATAAAGTGTTTAACAAACTTTCTACTTTTTAATTTTCTACTATTTTAGTGTTATAAGCTTATTATTACTATTATCTTTAACAGTAAATTATGTTGAAGGTTAACTGCACTACGCAAAAGTAGAACGCGCTCTAGCAATTAGAAGCGCAAATTAACCTTTTATACTGCGCAGTTATACACACAGTTGCATGCACCTATTAATTGTTGATTTTTCTGCTGACAAAATAACTAAATTTAAAAATAGGCTTAAACTAATATTAGCTAATTAAGGAACTCTTTATAGTATAATATAGTAAGGCTTATATAATCTTGTTAATTACTAAGCTAGCAATAATAGAGGAGAATAGTTTTAGTCTCTTTGCTTTCTAATAGTTCTTAGATGTTAGCGGCAGATACTGCCTACTACAAAAAATACATACAAAAACAAGAGAAATAACTGCAGCACACAAATTGCTTATCTCCTTCCCCCTAACTAGATAGAGAGGAAATTAAGCCTCTATAACTACACTCTTTAATACATACTATTACATACAATTTTATACTATATCTAAAGTTACTTCTATTATACCTTAAGAATCTTTATTATTTTATGCTTAGTAATTAACTAAATTATATAAGCTTTATTTATTATTTATTATATTATAAAGAGTCTTTTAATTAGCTAATAGTTATAAGCCTAGTTGCTGCAAGCTTTATGCTATATACTATACTTTATTAGAAATATACTATTTCTATTTAGGCTTAGTGCTAAACCTCTAACTAATTAGAATTTAGTATTTAATTAAGTAATCTACTTTAGACTTACTTTAGACTTACTTTTCTAAACTTTATTATTATTTAATAGAATTTATACCTATTTATACTTATTTAACTAAGCTTTTATATAACAAGCTATTTACTATAAAATAAGGGCAATTTCTGCACAGAAACTTATAATAATTTACTATATTAATAAAAACGCTATTTAAACTAGTAAAAACGTTTAAAATCGCTTAAAATCGCTATTAGCTATATAAGCTATATCTATTTTTTACCTATTTTATCTATCTTTATTACCTATTTTTTCATCTTTTATCTATATTTCCTACCTATTATAACTTACCTAGCTATATTTAACATATAGCTAAGGGGGTATGTTAGCGGCAGATACTGCCTACTAGAAAAAACACCTACAAAAACAAAGGAAACAATTGCAGCACATAAATTGCCTACAAGGAACGTTTGCATGCATTTTACATGCAAGAATTTAATATGCTTTACGCCTACATTTCTTTGCATATATAAATAAGGTTAAAAGAGGAATGCTAGCTAGAATTCAACAAAAAGACTAATAAGCTATAAAGGCTAATCTACTCTATAGCAGGAAAGCAGCCACAAGAGTTATTTTAAGCCTCTAAGGTTATTTTAAGCCACTATCTATGCCTAATCCGGCAGCCCTACTATAGGATTTACCTATAAATAACCCTCCTTCCCCCTAACTAGATAGAAAGGAAATTAAGCCTCTACAACTACACTCTTTAATACATACTATTACATACAATTTTATACTATATATAAAGTCACTTCTATTATACCTTAAGAATCCCTATTATCTTATGCTTAGTAATCAACTAGATTACATAAGCTCTATCTATTATATCTATTATATTATAAAGGGTCCCTCAATTGGCCGACAAATATCGCCAGCTTTGCCGGCTGTATTCTAGAGGGGCTAATAACCCCTAAAAACCTAAGTCTGCCTCTAGCTCTACGCTAGAGCTATACTGCTTTTATCTATTCTCCTGCTATATTCTCCGGCCTTTAATTGTCCCCTCTCCCTAGGGACGCAACCTATCTCTACGCAGTACGTTGTCTATTGCTATCTTAGGGGTGGGCCGGTCTAGCTCTAGGCTGTTATATAACTATTAGCATAAATATCTAGTATTTAGTTGCAACAGCTTGTATAGTTAGATTCACCTCACTTCTGTCTTGTGCGTAAATTACCTCTCAGCTTTACAGCTAGCTATAGCCTGACTTTAGCCCTACGCTAGGGCTGTCCTGCGCCTGCCTAATTCCCCGTCCCGTCTATTAGTCTCTAATTGTCCCTGCTCCCTAGGGACGCAGACTATCTTAGTGCAGTACGACGTCCGTCGCTCTCTTAGGGGTGGGCCAGCCTAGTTCTGTGCCGTCGTATAGCCGCCGGCGTAAATATCCAGTGTTCAGCTGCAACAGCTTGTGTATTTAGATTCACCTTATATTCGTCTTGTGTGTAAATTACCTCTCGGCCTTGCAGCTGGCTACAGCCGGCGCAGCTGCTACGCTAAATCCGGGCTCCTGTTAGATATAAAGCCGGCCGGACCCCCCCTGACTTCCTTCCCTTTTTTCTTCCTCTTTCAACCTCTCGCCCTCAATGTATGCCAAATCTCGCCGATATACTGGCCTTGCCCGCTGTCCGGCTGAGCCCTAATATTAACTATAGCTTAATATACTTTTATCTTAATATATATTTAAAGTATTACTTAAACTCTCTTAAAAGTATTACTTTTTAAAAAATAGCTTATAAGTTTATTATATACTTTTTTTTAAGTTTTATTAAGTTAGTCTTAAATTATATATAGCTTATTACTACTTAGTTTTTACTTATTAAACTATTTTCTTTTTATATTTAAATAGTAGTAACTTTAAGTAAGCTTTTTATTACTACTATTAATAACTATTAGTATTTTCTTCTCTACTTTACTTTTAGTATAGCTACTATATAGTATTATAAGTAGAAGTAATTAAGTATAAAAAAGAAAGTCTTTATATTAATTTATATTTTAAGAGTAGTCTTAAGCTAGTATAGTAGTACTATAAACTAAAGGCTAAAAAGTTTTATTTAAGTTTTTATATAGAAATTACTTTTATTTTATAGTAAATAGCTTATTATATAGAAGCTTAGTTAAATAGATATAAATAAGTATAAATTTTATTAAATAATAATAAAGTTTAGAAAAGTAAGTTTAAAGTAGGTTTAAAGTAAGTTGCTTAATTAAATACTAAATTTTAATTAGTAAAAAGTTTAGCACTAAGCTTAAATAGAAATAGTATATTTCTAAAAAAGTATAATATATAATATAAAGCTTATAGTAACTAGACTTATAACTATTAGCTAATTAAGAGACTCTTTATAATATAATAAAGAAGACTTATATAATTTAGTTAATTATTAAGTATAAAATAATAAAAATTCTTAAAATATAATAAAAGTAACTTATAGTTTAGTATAAAATTATATATAATAGTATATATTAAAGAGTATAATTATAAAGGCTTAATTTCCTCTCTATCTGGTTAAAGAGAAGAAGAGTTATTTATAAATAAATTCTATAGTAGAGCTACTAAATTAAGTATATAGTTGCTAAATTAAGTATAATTAGTAGCTTTAAATAACTCTTATAGCTATTTCTTTCTATAAAGTAGTTTAGCCTTTATAGCTTATTATAGTTTTACTAGTTTCTAGGTAGTATTTCTCTTATAACTATAATTATATATATAAAGAAATATAAGTATAAATTATATTAAATCTTTATGTATAAAATATATATAAATATTTCTTACAGGCAATTTATATATAGTAGTTGTTTTCTTTGTTTTTATATATATTTTTTTATTATAGGCAGTATCTACTACTAATAAAGTATATATTAGTAAGATTTAATATATATTAAAGCCTCTGTAGCGCAGTAGTTAAAGCGCTATAGAGCTCTAACAGCTGTAGAGAGCTAGTTCGAACTCAGCTAGAGGCACCTAAATTTTCAGCTTAGTTATTTAGAAATTTAGTTAACCTATAAACTTTATTATATAATTAAGAGGTAGAATTAAGCTAAGCCTACCTTAAAAATTAGCTAGCAGAGCTTAGAGCTTTAGA